AAGTATAAAAAGTGCATTTCATCCTCTTCTTAAAATCCTCAGTAAGTGGCTCTGATCACAAACTGTCTGTAAAGCCCTGGGCATAGCGCACTCCCTGGGGGCAGGCTGCCCAGCACTCCCACTAGGTGTGGGGCTATTTTTAGGATGCATAGTCCTGTCTGCCCTACTTGAACAAGAAGCTATAATTTCTCTGCATGGTCGAACCTATAGATACCTCCAGCCACATCCTCATCAGTGGTAGTTATCCCCCGACACTGTGACTCACAGCAACACCACCCAAAATCCACATCTCCCTGGATGAATCAGATGGCGCTACCCATGGCTGGGTGTCCAGTTTCTCTCTGAATCTGCTGCCATTTCTCTAGTTATCCATGCTGCTTTTTAAGCCAGGAACACTTGCTAGAGCAACAAGGATGTGGGACTAGAAATAAACTCCTGTTTGGGGGCCTTTTGGGCTGAAATGTGTCTCCACTAGCCCCCGATGTACATGCTGGACCCCAACCTCACAGTACATCTGAACATGACCTTGTTTGGAGGTGGGGTCTTTAAGATGTAATCAAGTAATTAACGTGAGGCACGAAGACCAGTCCTGAACCACTAGGATGGACAGCCTTCTGAGAAGAGATGAGGGCACAGACACACCCAGTGGGCCAGTCACGTGAGGACACAGGGAGGAGAAGACCACCATCCCAAGCCAAGGAGAGGGGCTTCAGGAGAGAGCGGTGCTGCCAACACCTTGACCTTGGCCTTCCAGGTTGTCTGTTACGAGAGCCCCAGCAACCCAATATATAAGAGTTTTGAAAATTTTCACGTCACAGTAGGTTAGAAAGGTACAGATTTTAGGAGCCCAAAAGGCTGTTCATCTTTGTCCTTCTTTCTGATGAGAACAAGCAAGTTTATTGTCAGAAGTATTAATAGATGCTGATCTAGGCTAGTACTTTGGAAGAGATTCTGAGGAAGGGCTTTGCTTAAATCTGTGTGAGTGAGCACTTGTGCTTTTTAGGGGCATAGATCCCTCTAGGCCCTACAGAGGACCTTCAGTGACGCAGGACTCCACTGAACAAAGCTGAGCCAGGTACCTGTACTCTCACATCACACTCAGGCAAATGGCCCACCAGCCAGTCTCCTTTATTTAAAAACGATCCCCCAAACTTGCACTAGCAGGCAAATATAAGTGTTCTGGACTTGCTTACCAATTTTCAAATACTAGGGATATTTAGCCCTGATGTTCTGTGAATCTTCTACTGAGGGCTGGCTGTATATCTCCTCTCTGTGGACACAAATGATTATCATGAAGGTTGAAATTAATAAACAACTGCCTGGAAACAGCAAGGTGCTTCTCCTGACACCTGGCTTGACTTTGCCAGGCCGCACAGCACCCACACTGACGCGTTTTCAGAGCATGAGTGAATGTCAAAAGGAGCGGAAGCTGCAAGAGGCTGTATTGGCTCCACCTGGTTTTATGGCACCTCAGTCTCCTCACCTGCACAATGACCATCTAAAAAGGAGAGCCAAGAGGGGTCCCAACACCCCACCTTCTCAGCTGGTCCAGAGTTTGGCTCACAGGAAGTGAGCTGCTGCTCACTGCTGCTGCTGTTATTATTAACGTTGTTTTCATGACAAATTGTATGGTTGGCTCTGAGGGGACAGGGGACAGGGGACAGGGAGGAACTGTCATTCAGTTGCCATCTGGTTCCCTGCTCCTGGCAATGTCTAATTAAGGAACAGAGGGATACTTGGGAGGTGAGTCGATCAGAAAGCAGAACCTCAGTCAGCACATGATCAATGGCTTTCTGGAACTCTGCTGCTCACACAATTGCAAGAACAGGGTCCCTGGCCAGGTGTGCCATGGCCCCCTGCTCCGACTCCAAGGCCCTTCACGGCCAGCACCCTCCACACTGCTGCCAGTTTGTTTAGCTTTACAGAGTTGGAAAATGCAGCTTGTGTAGGTCAAGCCAGCTACCAGGTGCAGCACTGTGCTGCCATTGCAATTTACTGTAGGTTTGGAGCAAAATCAAATGTCCAAACTCTCACACTGAAGCTATGCATTGTATTCTCTGGGTTCAGTAAATGATAAAGAATGCAAGTAATGATCTAAAAATACACGTTTAGAATTTTCATGAGCCTCGTTTTAAAAGTACAGAATTTAAAATTTTTTAATTCAAATTGTAGAGAACTACCTGAAAGGCCTCTACTTACACAAAAGATAGTTTCATAGTGGACACATGGGGCAGATATGACAGCACTATTTCTCAATAGACTATATCATGTAAGAAATTTATACATTAACTTGCTTTGAAACAATTCATAAATAGGCAAGAGATTTGGATAACACGGTCCAGATATTCAGTCAATGAAAAGCCTTATGAAATGACTGAACTGATCATTTCATGCATTAAAACTAAACCTTTTGTTTTGTGCACAAAGCTGTTAAGCAGATGTTTTTTATAATATTATTCACGAAACCCTTAGAATTATTTTATGATTTCTCTACAGGTACAGGAATAGTTCATCCTCGATTCAGAAAGCTAAACTGAGCAGTGAGGGTTTTCCTCTATAAAAGAAGCAAATAAGCCTTTTCTAACTTTGTAGCTTAGGACAATGAATCCTGAAAAAGAAATCCCAATATATAAATATGCACTCTTTCTTTTAAAGTAATTAGTGGTTTGGTAGCAGTCCCAGTTCTCTTTGAATACCTCATCAGATATTTTGATTACTGTCCCAAAGTTAAAATACTACTATTAACTATGGAAATAATTTGGTAACTATTATATGTGCTCTGAACGACCTGAATTCATAAAGTACACAAAGGCCCAGGAATGCTCAGGTTACCTGAAACATTACCAGAATCCTTCCATGCACGAATCCTAAAACATTAATGACTGTTCATTCCTTCAGTTCTTTCACTGCATTTGAATATTTCATGTGCCCTGTACATTACTATTACTATTTCAGGGGCAAATGGGAAAAATGTGCATGTCACTATTTCTACAAAGACTGCATCATATACGAAAGTTGTATATTGATTTAATTTGAAGCAATTCATAAATATGCAAGAGATTTGACTAACAGGGCTAGATATATACTCAATCTCTCTGAGAGCTGTATGTTGGGACCAGCACAGAAAATGCAGAGAAACTGAATTAGTATTTTAAAAGGTGCTGAGTTTTTGCCTTCATTTCTAGTACTGAGTAGATAAGATAACATAGTAGCCTAACTGGAGGGCACTAAATTCAATTATGATTTCATCAAATTAAGAAATAAAAATGTGTGTAATTATTTTCAATAATAAGTCTCTGACTTGCAAACTGCATGCAAGGCTCTCAATTTTCATTACAAAAAAAATAAGGAATATACACAGAAGGACCCATTTTAGTAGATGTATATGGGCACCAATGGAACTACTATTATTACAGCATTAGTGTAAAAATAGAAAACATTTAATAAGACATCTCTCTCTCCTCCCTTTGGGGGGTGAAGAAGCCCCCCTCATTTCTCATTTGAAAGCTGTATTTTCTTGCATTTTTAAAAATAAAGATGGTGGTCCAAGTGACCTCCAAGATCTCTTACAAATCAAAAATATGATTCTGAAAAAAATGATTCTGTGATCCCATAAGACAATATTATATTCCTTTTCCTGACCCCTAATGCCGTCTTCACTGTAAATAATGAAAAACAAAAGCAGACTGTTCCAAAGAGTTCTGATTACCAATGATTTAAGAAACAAATAACCGAGGCATTTCTGTGGAATATTTTTCTACATTGTTTGTACAAATACTGTTTCAAAAATAAACTGAAATTGCTCCCCACCCCCCATCATGGCTTATATTCAACCACACACACCTTATATCAGAGCCAACATCTACCCTAAGGATGAGGAACGGACCTCTGACGGTAAAGTATGTAACCTTTCTCAGCGGAAGATGTTTTTATAGAGCCATTGTGTGCACACTCTTCCTAACTCAAGGTATATGTGGAACTTAAACTCTAGAAAAGATGAGCCTAGCAGGATAGTTTCAGAATTAAGTGACCTTCTCTGCTGGAGTTAGAATGCTATTTGTTTGGAATCCCAGGGGCTCTACCTCTAGTGAAATTGGCAGAACAAGCCTTATTTGATTAGTGTGAAAGCTCCTTTAGGGAAAGGGACAGAGACAGCCGGGGAGGAGGAACTGATTGGCTTCTGATAGGCTGCGGGGAGAAAGATCAAACTGAGGTCATTCAGGGTCTTTTACAGAAAACAATAATTTTTCATAAATCTAAAAGATGCCCCTCCAATAATAATTTTATTAAATGATGTTTAATAACCTGAACGTGGTCAGGAGCATATGACCGGAAGGCAGCAGCACACTGTCCTCTGGGCAGCCAGGGGCCCTGTCTCGGCCACTCCCTCCCTCCCTGCCCTCCAGTCCTCTGGGGCTTCTGTGCAATAGGTGAGAAGCCAGGCGACCTGCTTGGCCCTTGTTTCAGAATCTCATTAAAACCTTTAGCCCTGGAAATGGATTTAACCGCTGGGGGTGGAGGGTGAGGAAATAAAAGGAAGAGACAAGGTTTGAAAGAGACCAAGTGTGGAACATCTGCCCCAGAGGTGGGGGTCTGGGCTAGGGCCAGGTGGGAGGGGGTGCTG